TGCTGGGAATTGAACTCAGGACCTCTGGAAGAGCAGTCGGTGCTCTTAACCGCTGAGCCATCTCACCAGCCCCTTGGTTGATTAATTAATTAATTAATCTACACCCCAAGAGCTGCTAGTGTCTTGCTCAAGTTCTTTCTCCAGAGTTTTAAACTTTCCAGTGTAGCAATCTTTCCTTTCCTTAGTTGGGGTTATTCCTAACTCTTTTACTCATTGTTTTTTGAAGCTCTCCTGGATTGGATTGCATTCTCGATTTTCTTTCTCAGCATGCATGTTCATGGGATAGAAAAAAGCTGTTGATTTGTGTGTGATGGTTTGTACCCTGCAGCTTTGATGAAAGCATCTACCAGGACTGAGAGTTTTCCTGTGGCATCTTCAGAATCTGTCATGTGCAGAATTACATCATCCACTAATATAGATCAGGACTATTTGCTTCTTTTCTCAACTATATTTATTCGCTTCTCTTGTCTTACTGCACTGGCTAAGGCTTCAGGACCATATTGAATAAGAGTGGAGAAAGTGTACACATTTGGCTCTGTTCTGACTTTACAAAGAATGATTTCTGTCTCCCCCCAATTTAGAATAATGTGGGGTAAAGGTCATTTACATCCTTTCCTATATTGGGCTGTGTTCCTTCTATTCTGAGTTTCTTCAGGGCTTCATCATGAAGAGAATGTTGGACTCTGTCTGAGCTTCTTTCTGCATCTGTCATGATTATGTGATTCCCATCCTTGAGTCTTTGATAAAATACACAAGATTTATTGATCTGCATGTGTCAAAACCTTGCTTTCTGGAATGATTCCAATGTGCTTGTGGTGAGTAACATGTAGTTGAATTCAGTTTCCAAGTTTTTTTTTTTTTTATTGAGAATCTTTGTATGTGTATTCATTAGGGATGTTGACCTATAGTTTTCTATTTTTTTTTGTGTGTGTGTGCGTGTGTCCTTAACTGGTGTGGTATTAGAGGGATTCTGCCTTTGAAAATGGATGATGGTGTTCCTTCCCTCTTTATTTTATGAATTAAATCGAGGAGCACTCGTGTTAATTCTTTTTTAAAGGTCTGGCAGAATTAAGCAGGGACTAAGCCTGGGCTTTTAGAGTTGAAAGTTTTTTACTGTTTCAATCTCCTCTCTCTCTCTCTCTCTCTCTCTCTCTCTCTCTCTCTCTCTCTCTC